GCTGGCAAATCCTTATTTATGGAAGCTTCTACTTCCACACTTCTAAGTGCAAAGTGCTCTACTCTCTCTTCCCCTCATCTCATATCCTTCTCTGGCTCAGAGCAGGGGTGTTGGGCAGAAAGTACTTGTTTCCTTTGCTTTACTTTCCCACCCAAAGTCCAATTTACAGCCTAAGCCAAGGAGAGAAAGGGTGGGAAGAGTCATCCTCGCCCCCAGAGCCTGAGAAGGACGACACACCTGAGAATGGAGGGAGATCGCAGGCATGCTCAGAGGGTACTCACATGGTTGCTGCTGTCTGAAATCTGCTTCTCAATCAGCTGAACAATCTGCTTGAATGTCGGCCTTTTGAGGGGATCAGCATCCCAGCAAGTCTTCATGATGTCATACCTGTAAACGAGGGCCATTTCCCATCACTCCTCAATGCCCTTCGCCTGTCTTCAGGTGTATGCCATACAATTATTTCAAAAATAATTCCAGGGCTAGGCAACTGGACACAATGAATGGCGTACTCTATGTAAGAAACACTGCCAAGACTTTCTGTGTATTTGGTGACAAGAGATGGTGAAAATTAAGCTACAGAAATGACATTTGACCAGGGTGCCCTAAACAGGAACCAAGTGACATTTCAAACTGGTCTACTTGAAAACCCTCAACATCTGGGTTTCTGTCTTTAAAACGAAAAATAAAAGGGGAAATAATCTTGTCGTGGCCCTTACATCTCAGCAGGTGCATGCTCAGGACTCAGCATTCGGAAACCCTCCTTGATCATCTTGTAGAACTTAGAATCGACCGGCATTCCAGGGTAGGGGCTGCTGCCTGGGGCACAAATGGTTTGCAAATCAGAGCTAATCATAAGAAAGCAGGACACTGATAAAAACTTTAAGAAGCTGCTCTGAGCCTATGAAGGTGCCTTTGGCAAGGATCATCTTACCTAAAGAGAACAGCTCCCACAGAAAAATCCCATAGGACCAAACATCACTTTCGAATGTGTACACACAGTTGAAAATGCTTTCAGGTGCCATCCACTTCACAGGCAGCCGAGCCTGTAATGGAAGCACGACAGATTCAGCAGTGGTAATTAAGAAATTCCAAAAAACTGAGTAGAAAATATTCCCATAGACGATGCTCCTGTGAGAGCTGAGGGTGAGAACTTGACTGCCCTCTCACAAAAGCCTTTTATCTATATGACTTCAGATGAACCCAACTACCTCTGAAATAGGTGGCTCACAAGTACACCATCCCTACTTTCAAGATGGGGATACTGAGTCACTACAGCATGGTGGTTAAGAGCACAGGCATCAGAGACTGACAGACATGGGTTCTAATCCTGACTCAGCCACTGGCCTTAAGTGACAAAGACTTGTTAGTTACCACTGGTTATGTTTTCCCTGTTCCCTTAGTAGAAGCACGGCCGCCCATAACAAGGATTACACTTCCCAACTCCTTTGCAGCGAGGTGTAGTCATGCGACTCAGTTTGGGCCATAAGTTACAAGTGTTGTATGGAAGCTTTAGGAAAACCTCCTTAAAATACAGTTGGCATGTGCCTTTGTGCCCTTCCCTCCTGGCCTCTCCTCCACCTGCTGGATGCGGTGTGTCTGGCTAGTAGTGGCCATCCTAGGCCATAAAGATTAGGGCTACTCCAGGGACAGTGAAAAATGGAAAGGGGAAATATTTGGCCCCTGAGTACTTTATTGAGCCTCTTGACAGGCCTGGACTGCTACTCCTAGACTTCTTTTTCTTTTCTTTTGGGTTTTCTTTAATATGCAACAGAAACTATCCCTAACTAATGCATTGGGCAAGTCATTTAAATATCTGTAACTAAGCCTCTGTATCTTCTTCTGTAAAACAAATATTTCAAATTTCAAGAGTTGTTTTGTGCAGTGATATGGGCCAGCATGCTTAGCACGGTCCTGCCTGACTCACTAACAGCTGAGAAATGGTCTAGCATAAGCAAGCACTCAGTAAATAGCAGTGGTTTATGATGATTATGACTATTCCAAGGAGGTGAATGGCAGATTCAGGGCTGAAATTCAACAGCTGAATTTCACATCCTGAACCCTTTCTGCTAAAACCGAGCCAAACTTTCTGTGACTATTCCTCTTAAAGACGTTCTGGATTCCTGAATCTTAATCTACCATAGAAAACTCAGTCAATCCTGCTCTTAATCCAATTAGGACTGGACACTAAGGCCACAAATTTTTATAGTCTTTAAGTTATTTTAGTCCATAGGGAAAAAAAAATTCTTCCAATATTCCCCTTGCCCCTGAGATTTTGTGCTAAAGCTCCTACAGGGGATCTTAACCTGGTATCTACAGGTACCTTGAATTCAGGTGCCTGTGAACTTGGAAGGGAAGAGATTAAATTCTTGTTTACACTAACTTCTAAGTGAAGTGTATTATTTCCTTAAATTACGAATGAAGGCAATAAAGCACAGTAGTCTGGGCAGTACCTGTGACTTTGTTACTGATAGTAATCACAGATATCTTATAGTACACTGTTTACATTCATCTGAAATTACAGCAGTTTTTAGACCCACAGCTAGAACATGTTATTTTGTGTAACACAGCACATGTATTGTCACATCACAAATTTACTTTTTAATATTTTGATAACTGTATTTCAATTCAACTGCTTTTCTTGTTTATCCTACTGTTCTGACAAAAGACCCATAGGATTTGCCGGTCTAAGAAAGGGACCCTGGCACAAAAATGACTAAGAATCCATGAAAAATAGAAGGACTTACAGGGAAACTCACACAACAAGGAGATCTCAGGTGACTACGATGTAATTTTGGGGTGGTAACACGCTATGTGAGTTTCCTTGCTTTTAACTTGTCCATAAATTTTCCTTACTCAGTAGCCTGGTGAAAGTGACACTTGCGATTAGTCAGTTCACCTGACCTGAGCTGGAGTCCACAAAGGGAAGCTGGTGGGAACTAACCCACCCTTGTGAATTCCAACTAAAGTCACTAACCAAGAACAAGCAATAAGGTGCTGCAGCATCACCACTGTCATGATTATTTATATTTCAAATGAGACAGCTATGAAAAATAGTCAGAATAATAAGTGCCATGTAAGTATTAGCCACAAGGCGCCTGGCTCTATGCTCAGCACTTTATATATATTAATTTAATTAATCCTCATTATAACTTTATGAGGCAGCTGACAGTATTATTCCCAAGAGGAGAAAAACCAACTTTCCTAAGTGTTGGATAATTCTTGCCAAATATTTCACAGCCACTAAATGATGGAGCCAGATTCGAACTCAGAGAGACCAGGTCCAGAAGCCACTACTGTCTTCCTTTCCTCCTTTTGTCACTATTCAGAGGCCTAGATAAAGAGCCACCTTACAGCCTTCCTTCCTGCAGCGTACCAGGGTGGGGAGAACTTGCTTCTATTAACACTTCTAATGATGCAAGGAGATTGATTAGAAATGCATTCTTTGGTCCTGGCCTGGTAGCTCAGTTGGTTAGAGCATCATCCCGATACCCCAAGGTTATGGTTTGTCCCCAGCCAGGGCACGTACAAGAGCAACCAATGAATCATATATAAGTGGAACAACAAATCGATGNTATGGTTTGTCCCCAGCCAGGGCACGTACAAGAGCAACCAATGAATCATACATAAGTGGAACAACAAATCGATGTCTCTCTCTCTCCCCCTTCCTCTTTCTCTAAAATCAATCAATAAAATTTTTTTAAATATACAGGCTTTGATCAGGAGGTAAACCTGGCACTGTTTCTACAAACCCAAATCAGATATAGCCAATCCACAGAGATGCCATAGTGATGAAGGAGAAAATGTTTCCTCATCATAAGGGACACGTATAGCTACCTCCAGGAATGGATCTGAACTACAGAAATGGGCCTAGAAAAATGTAAAAGAATATAGATACAGGGCTACATGCCTTCCCTACTCACGGGACGCTGCTCTGGAAATCATGGACTCTGGTTTCAGCTTCTACCACCCTGTGTCATCTCAGACAAACATCACTGAAATATACTGCAGCTCTTAAAATGGGAAGACACTGCGTTCTAATGCCAAGGGCTTATGATACAATGAAAACTAGCAATGAAATAAAGCACTTTGAAATAAAATCACTATGTTCTCTAAACCAATTATAACTTATGAACCTATTTAATAAGCTCTCTATTGATTGTCAGCTCCAACATTCTCTGAACCAAATTCTGCACATTACCTTCGATTTTAATCTTTTTCACATGGCATGTCAATCTCAAAATAAAATTCTCCTGCTGTGACCTTCAGGTCCACAGTTGTTTCACTAGAGCAAAATCGAGTTCATTGCTATTCTCAGGCTATAATGGAAATTAAGGCTATTTCTGTTTCCTTCACATGCCCCATAATTACACAATTAGAATTAGGAATTCTATTATCAGAATGTTGGTTGTACTGTTCAGCATACCATGCAAATTTTGCTGAAGTACACTTAATGTGACGGCAAAATGCATGATATCTCAAAGGTAGGATTTGCATTACGAAAACCATAGGAAACAATTCTTAGAAAAACTTGAAACTAAAATCCTTCACTGGCCTGTCAAGCAGAGAGTGGGTACTCACGTTTCCTTTGACCACATAATTAGAATCGTTCTTGATGTCTCTGGCTAGACCAAAATCGCAAATCTTTGTGATTCGACCGTGAGTAAGGAGGATATTTCTGGCTGCCAAGTCTCTGTGAATACACTATCAGGAGAGAGGGGGAAATTTATTTTAAACTTTTAAAAGTGAAAACTATGTTTAATACTATAGTGCTGCTTATGTTGTATAAATCGGATACTTCTGCTTTACATTTAAACTATTCGGTGCACCAAAAATAAGTATCTAAATTATGCCTTGAATGGTGCTCAAAATTTGTGTTTCACATCGTTAGGATCTTAATTACTATAATCACTTTCCAAAACCAACTTGAATAAACGCTTTCTTGGGACTGCTTTCATTCACAGGAAAATACATTAAATAGTCGTATCACATTTTTTACACTGAAAACTCAATTTTGCATGCTTCTCTGTGAATGTCCTTATACAGAGTTTCTAAAATGTCTATGCAACTTCATCTTGACATCTCCCAAGGACACAGGGAAGAGGCTCTTTATTTCAGCTACCCTATATCCTCTTTGAGTTTGGTAATTGTTTGGAAATGTCACCAATGACACATAAGAGTCAGATCTGTGACCTTATCCTATTCTGCTCATCCCACTTCCTAGGGAATTCCTCTCGCCCTTCCAGGGAGCATGTTCCTGTTTTGGCTCCATCACTCTCTTCCCATACCCATCCTTTCCCCCAATGTTTATTATTCTCTCTGATACCTTATTTCCCCAACACTTTAGAAACCAGACATGCAATATTAGTAGTCTAACTTCAATAAAACCCAAGCTTTGCAGCATTATGAGGTACCCCCAGTACCCCTTCCTTTTAGTGATACAATTATCTACTTTCTAACATTAACTTCTATATCCTAAAAGCCAAAAGGTTTAAATGAATTCATTGCATATAAAAATAATTCATAGAAAGTTCATTTAGACAGAATTGCACGTTAAAGCTTATGAGAGCAGGAATTTCTAAAGAGACAGCAGTTGGAACATGAAGAAACTAAATTTCCTCTGCTTTTGGTTACCACACTTCAAAATGACACTCTGCATTCTAACTATGGCTCTAACTATGTTTCATTCTGGGGGAAAAAAAGAAAAGAAAAAAAAAAAGACTTCTGAAAATCACTCCCACTTACATTCTTGGAGGCCAGGAAGGCCATGCCCTTCGCCACCTGGTAAGAAAAGCTCAGCAAGTCTTCCAAGTCCAGGGCCAACTCATCATCTTCCATGATGGCAGGCGTCACATCTCTTTCTATGTATGAGCCTGCTGAGAGAAGGATTTTCTTAGCAATTAAACCTTACAGGCGAGGAAACACGAGACAGTGACAACAGTCACACCAAAGGTAATGAACGAATGAATGGATATGAACTTGTAGGTCAATGACCTCCCCAGTGTTGAGAACAGGTAGCTGCTGATTCACGAAGTAATATTCACAATTCTGGGCTATGTTACAAAATCATTAGGGGAGAAGAATGGGGGATGAATACAAAAATCTCATATTTTGATATGCAAAATATACATCTGATATATCCCAATCTGCAAAATACATATTTACATGCATATATTTTCATAGATGCAATAAGATGCTCAGATATAATAACCCATGCTCTGACCCTAAACACCCCCTTGCAACCCTTAAATGCCATTGGCCACTACTGGCATTGCCATGGGACCCTACAGTAAAGGAGACTTGTCACTACCAGGAATGGTGTTATATTCCATAGTGGTCTGAGAAATCCTCTGTAAATGAAGTTGATTTCATTCTTGAAGGGTACCCACCTATTCTCGCTGATCTCCTTTTGTCTGCCTTAGTTGGTACAACATAGGAAACTCCGGGTTTCATGTCCATGTACTCATTAGTACTATCACTACTGGGAGAGATAAAACATCCATCAAATCATGACTGAATAAAATGGGAAATGGGGGGAGCACCGATGGGGTAGGTTCTATCTCCCCATCCCTTTTTACATAATAGGTTTATTTTATTCAAAGAAAACTTTGCCAAGTTTGAATGAAGAAAATCTTGTTCAGTAAGAGATGAATTTTTAACATTCAACATTAGGGTCCAATCCCCAGGAATTAGATGGCTTTTTCTGTGTTCAATCATAGACAGTACTCGGTTTAGAAATTTCCCATCCCTTGACACCAGAGATTTAATGGGAAACAGAGCCAAAAAGCATCATCCCACATTACTTCAAACTCTCTAAATTAGCCCCAAGAGACAAGATGAAAGAGACAAAGAACCAGAGTTTATGAGATGTATTATTATGGGGGAGAAGACAGAGATCATTAACATATAGCGACTGATGGGAGAAGATTTAAAAACACCAAGTTTGGTTCAGATAAACACCAATAATTTGGATGATTTTCTGAACCATCTGGACCTCTTGAATCTGCAACATTTGGCTGGAGAGTCTTCAAGATTTCTAGTACTTCCTGCTTGTGATTAGCATAGAAACACCATGACAACTATCTCCTTCAGAGTGTGCGGATGGTTCCAGTCCCATATGGGATCCCAAAGCACAAAGAACACCACACAGGACTGAACAATTTAGGCCATTATTTCAAAAAGTTAAAAACCATATATGGGACCAAGGCTTTAGAAATAAGACAAATTAGCTCATTTATTCCTATAAAGAGCACATGCTCTGGAGGAACGAACAAAAAGTGTTTGGCATTGTGTTTTAATACCAATTGACAGTACTCAAGTTTACAGGATTAGAAAAAATTTAAAGCTTCACCTGGGATTTAAAATGTTAGCCAGAGGTACAGAAAAGGGCTTTAAGAGGTGACTGCCCATCAATAACATTTACTGTGGTCTCCGTAAGGGCCTGGAGTTAAGAGGTTAGGAGACAACTTGCCATCTCAAAACGCAGGGGAGAAACCCACCACGCAACTGCAGAAATATAAAGAATAAGGGGTTGGGCATGAGAAGTATGATTTCTGTGGGGCTGAGAGAATCTAGGAAGCCTTCTTTAGCGGCAGATCTTAATAACGGTTGGGGAAAAGAGGCAGGCATGGCAGAGAGGTTTTCTATTCTGCTTGTAAACTGCACTAATTCTCTTTAAAGGAACTTGAAGCTCTTTACACATCATTTAAATTCAGAATGCTATCAGTGATGAAAGAGATGAAAATAAGGTACAGAATTTCTTTAAATGTGCCTTTTTATAGCATAATGAGTTTTTTAAAAAGGGTAAGGTATATAGAAATAATTTAGAGGTAGATGGCGAGAAACCGACATGCAGTTATGTTCACAGCTCTCTGACGTTCTGTTAAAGGTTTTAAAGGAATTTACTGTGACAACTTGACAAGCTTGCAGATTTTCCCGTAAACAGTGTCTCATTGTAAAGATGCACACAGTACCAAGCTCCATAGGATAAATGGAATGACACACCGGAGCAGAGCCATGATAAGAGAAACAGGTATCGAGTTCATGCAGTTGAACAGAACAAACGCTTAGGGAAAACTAAGGATGCATTAAAAAAATACATTGGCAAAAATCGACGTTTCACACTACCTGAATCTTTAAAACACAATTTGAACTCTGTAAACTGTTAATCACATTTAAATGATTTAATAATCTGATTTTGCACCTCAAAGTATCTCAGTTCATTTTTTTAAAAGAATCAGCCTTGATTGCAAACCCTCATGACCCCAGAACTGCCTGTCAACAGCTGACTGTTTATGTAAATCAGCCTTACCACGAAGACTCCTTTGAATGCAGAAGGTTCTTATAAAGGGCGGCTTCTGCCTGATCTTCCTGCTTTGAGCAAATAAATGAATCGCGTTTTCTCCTCAAAAAATTCAAAAGATCACCATAGCAACAATATTCTGTAATGACCAGGGTGGGCCCTACAAGCATACAAGAGAAGGGTAGAAAGAGTTGGCATCTATAAACAAACCCTGCCTCCCATAAATACCCACAGGTGATCCAGGCCAGCAACAATCCGTTTCAATGGATAAGCCTACTGAGCAGTAACACAATCCTAGCTGTAAACACTGCCTATCAAAACGCAGCGTCATGTGGATAAAACTAAACAAGTGAGCCCCCTTTTACCTAAATTTGTGAGTGGTTAGGGGGCCCCGTGTGACTTCTGGTTATGTTGTTATCAGACTTCCTAGAAGAACCCTTGGATTCACTGCTGCTTACATACAGTGGGGCTCACACCCTCCTGATAACATTCGTATGGAAATGATGGCACACACTGCCGCAAAATAGGGAAACCAACCACGCGGAAAAGCCGGCTGAGTCTGTGTTCTGAGCACTACTAAGTTGAACACTTTCTTGGTGTTATGAATGCCTCAAACTGCAGCTATGAAGTTAACAGGCAACTAATTAACTTGGGCAGAAATGTCTCATGAACTATTCATGATGTGGTGAAGCAACGTTTATGGGGACTGTTTTAAGAGATTATATAAAGTTGTCAACTTGACCGTGGAGCTCTCAACAGTTCCTTTCACACGGCTTTGTTCCTTTCGACCAAAATGAAACCTGTGATGGGAGGCTCAACTGATGCTTCAGAATTGGAAATTTTATTTTTAACAAAAGTGAACTGTTTGCCTCATTTGGTGTATATTTGAGAGCTGGTAGGCTTAAAGGCCTATTTTTAATTAGGGTATGGAAATGAATATTAACCCTTTAGCAACCAAATAGGATCCAGCAAAATGGAAATCGTGCAAGATAAAAAGAAAAGCTTTCTGGATGAGATGAGACATTCTCGAGATGTTCACGAGGTCAATGTTATTGATGAGACACACAGAACAGTAACTAAGGTATATCCTGGGCTTTCCCATCCCATGATGATAAAACTAAAATATACATTCTTCAGAACAATAATTAGGAGCAGAGGATTTAGCGAGAAGTAATAATCTGGGTAAAAATCTTGCAAGGAACTTATAATCAAGCACTGTCAAAAGCATATCAAAAGTTCCCCATTCTGATCATTGGACAGATAATCAAAGGCCAGCTGGCGATGGCCTTACCTCCAATGGTGCAGGCTCCGAGAAGATTCACAATATTCATGTGGTTACCGAGGTAACTCAAGACTTTGAGTTCGGACATTAGGGCTTCTCGTTCGGTTAAATGGGCGCTCGCTAAAGTGAGAAACATTTTATTTTAGCAAAAAAAAAAATTGTCTTTGGCAAACCAATGCTGAGCACGTGCAGTATCCCAAAGAAACTTACGTTTGAGCATCTTCACAGCAACAGTCATGGCTGCATCCGACTTAATTAAGCCGTAAGCTGTGGCCTCAACAACTTTCCCGAAGGCGCCAGCCCCCAAGGTTTTCCCTGCAGGAAGGACGACACAGTAAGTGGTGGTAGTGGGACCAAAGGACCATTTGTGTCATTTTATTTATTTATTTTTAATGTTTTTATTGATTTTAGAGACAGAGGAAGGGAGAGGGATAGAGTGATACAAACATCGATGGAAGGGACAAACATTGATCAGTTGGGGATCAACCCTGCAACCGAGCATGTGCCCTGCCTGGAAACTGAGCCGGTGACCTCTTGGTTCATGGGTCAATGCTCAACCACTGAGCCATGCCGGCAAGGCCCATTTGTGTAATTTTAACATCAACAAAGGAATTAAGGACAATATTTGTCTAGATACATTTCCCTCTAATGTGCTTTATGCCAAAACTATCAAAGATGGTGACATTTCACAGAAAATACTTATTGTTGCAGGTGGAATAAAATACAGGAAGCTATTGGGGTTCCCTAAAGTCATTGTTATGTATACACAAAAAGGTTCCTTGGAAAGCCCCCTGTTTCATACTGACCAAAACTCAGCCTGTTTCTGGGAAACTCCCATTTGTGATCATAAGGAAGTTGCGTTGGGTCTATGTAAACATAATTGTTTCCATTTATCTCCTCAACAACCTTCCACTGCACTTCATACATGGGTTTCTGGTGGGCAGGAGAATGGAAAAGATTCATATTAATCTTTTAATGATCAAGGTTTCCATCATTAGAGTGCTCAAGGCGGAGAGCAGATAAATGGTTACCTGTAAGTATTTGTAGGTAAGAATCATCACGATAATGCACATCAGGCCGGCGGCAATCACAAAACCGATCAGCAAAGGTGTAAACAGGGTGTGGGAATGGATTTCTTCTAAAATGAAAGAGGAACATGGAATCATAACCTCTCAGCACAACTGGGTCTTCACCACAACCATGTACCCCAAACCACCCACCTCCCACCTCCCAGCCCATGGCAGAATTCAAAGCCATGCACCTCTCAGCTGCTCGCCTTGGTTAGTATCTTACTCTTGTTATTTAAAAAGGAATCTTTTTAAACAACTTTGAACCAGAGACTGTGGAAGAGAGCTTAAGGTTTCTACAGCACAAAAATTTTATGCCACTGGTCAATGAAAAGCAACATCTGAATGAACTTTGTACTTCAACCAAATTTCCTCCTTTGACAACTTTTAAGAAATTTCCTTTATGTGTGATTTCTATTTTCTTCTTTATGCTTTACTGCATTTTCCAAATTTTCTACATTGAGCAGAAATCTTCCACAACTGAGAAAAAAATTTTTAAAGTGTTCTTTTTATTGCCCTGTCTGAAAAAAATCTATGATGAAGAGCAATGTGAGAATTCTTCCCCTCATTACTCAAAAACTGAAAATACAACATTTTTGGCACCCATCTTTGCCAACTCAGGAAAACAAAAACTGTGCCCAAAGAATGTAGGTGCTCAGTTTCTTTGTCTTCTAATGTCATACCAATTCATCAATGTGTCCACAAGGATCATTTAACTTCTGTTAGGAGAGCTAGTCACTCATGAATCACATTTTAAAGATGTTAAAGAAACAGCTCACTAACATGACTTCATAAAAGGCAGCATTAACTTTCTGATATAGTATCTGGCAATGTGTTAAAATAACTGATTTTAAATGGAATTTAAATTTTTAAATTGCCCTACTTCTGTTTCTGTTTGGATATAAGGTAAATATAGCCCTCCATTTTCCCTCTCTACCCATTTTTAATAAAAACAATTGGAAATATACAATGCATTATATACACACACGTGCATACATACATGTTCACACACATGTGTAAAATACATATAGTACATGGTTAAAATTACTACATACATTTTATTAACAGACTAGAACAGAATGAAACAGTGAGTTTGACGACAGTACAGTGCAATGCAGATATTACCAGAAATGACATGGCCAATGATGGAATGGACTTAAAATCATGATTCATATGGTAGCAGAGCCTAAACATCCCCTTAAATTGGATTAAAAAGAAATATACCTTTGCTGTTACCTTTAAATGCAAAGTTAAAAAAGGCAGAACTCTTGCCCACATCGTTGTAAGCCCTGCACTCGACCGTGCCGTTGAGCTTGAGTGCACTGTCACCGATGGAACTCTGAACCACTAGCTTGCCAAACGGTGACACAGAGGAGTTTTGAATCTGCACACTCACCGGCCCAACGGGAACAGAACACCTGGGGGGACACAAACAGCAGCCCGGACTTACTCCATGAAAATCCACACTCAGAAAACAAGTTAGGGTTCATAATTGGAAATTTCCTTTTACAACCAGGAGTGTCTGCAACGAATGAGCACTCCCATGGCTCAGGGAGTGAGGAAAGCCCGTGGGAGAGAAGTCGGGGGGAGACTATGGAGTGAGGGGCAGGTTGGAGTCCTGACCCAAATGCCTCTTCCGTTGCCTTCTGACAAGCAACTTCAAAATCTACAAGACTCAGTTCCTGCAGCTGTAAAATGGGATGATAAGACCCAACTTGGAGAGTTAAACAGAAATGACTTAAATATCCTTAAGTAAACTATAGTAAAATGGTGTATGCGGGGTTGAAAAGGAAAAGCATGGGGGAAGAAAGCACTGCCTCAAATAGGATGACCACAGGTAACCCCCAAAGCTCCTGCAGGGAGGACCCCATACTGGAGGGTCTACGCAGGGAGGTACAGGTGGTCCCGCCAGGCTGCACTCCAGGTGGCGAATGTGGAGCCAGACCCTGAGGACTCTGTTTAAATAACCCCTCCCCACCCAGCCCCCACATGCCTAGCAGTTTTCCCTCCTTACCTTGCCTTATTTTCCCCCTCAGCACTTACCATCTGCCTATGTTAGTTTTTTCATCCTTTGTTCATCTCCACCCATTAGAGCAAGAGCTCACAAAGCTGGGACACGGGTGTCTTGTTCACTAGACCCGTACCCGGCATACAGCTGGCGCCCAATGAGCATTTGCTGTAATTACTGGGGCTGCTTCTGCTGTGGGCAGACTTTCCAGGGGTCTTGAACCAGCCCTATTATTCCCCCAAGAAAATATTCCACTCAAATTCAGCTGAAAACCACAATCCTATGTAACCTCTTCCCACTTGTAATAAAAAGGTCTATTCAATGAAAAATAAAATTTCTACTAATACCCTGACTATTCGATTGTGATGTTACACGGGGCTTTTAAAGCCTGAGCACAAAATACCATTCGATGGATAAAAACAGCAACATTTTCATCTTCAGGTAATGAGAAAGGACGATTTAAGGCTTAAGTGTGGCTTCTCAGGGAGAGGAAGCACAAAGCCAGATGTGCTCTGCTCAGGGGCTGGGCACCTAATCACCGAGAAAACGGTTTAGAACACGGAGCTGACAAACGCCATACGCACGTTGTAACTGTGCGATCATTACTTTTTGGTAACTTGGCAATTAACTTCTGAGGTAATTTTTTTCATAACTACAGCCACATTTCCCACACGTTACCTCCTGTGTATAGAATGGAAATCTAATTACTCTGTCCTGGAAAATTGCTTTATCTACCTGCGGGCTGGAAATTGCATGATAAATCCAAAAAGATAACCACCAAAATAGAGAAGTCATTCAGTAATCATTTTCCAGCAAACAAAATTAATGTCTCCCAAGAAAAATATAGCAATTATGCCATCTCAAAAGCCACGTGGACAGAAAAAAAAAACAATCACTGAAACAAAGCTTTTGGGGGGTAAAAAAAAACCTGTAACATAATTGAAATTCAGCAGAACTGCAGCCCTTCCCTGCTGCATGCTAAATGGTAACCAAAACAGTCATCTCACCTCTGCTCGGTTCCTGGACAGAAGTACCACTCTATTGTGGGCTCCGGGAAGCCTGCTGCCATACACTGGAGCATGCCATTCGTGAGTCTCTCGTGAGTCAAGATTTCTGGTTTTGCTGCAGGAAAAGAGAAGCAGCCACATGTCAGATGGCTGGAGGCCATCACTGAGGTCCACTCCACTCTCAGAATCCTTAGAACCTTCTTGAGGCTGAAGAAGGCCTTGAGGGAACGTGTTATTCAAGGGGCGAATCTGAACCGGTGAGTGGAAGGTACAGGGAGGGGGATGTGAGGGTCAGGCCACCCTGCAGATGTGGGGGTCACCGCGAACTCCCTGTTCTGGGGATGGCTGAGCAGAGCACAGGAAAGCCTGGCAGGTTTTCTGTTTCCAGGGAGTGGGAATCCGAAAGACCGCTTCTCATTACTAACACTCCAAATTATTTTAACGGTTAAAATTCTGTTGAAAGGATTCCTGGCATCAGGATTTCAAGTTACTCTGGGGACTGGAATAGATGAAATACAGGAAAAGCGAAGGCCCCCTCTCTCAAGAATTTCCTCTTTTAT